GACAGGTTTGACAGATGACATTTGACAGATGACGTTTGACGTTTGACATATGACGTTTGACAGCTCCCCTCCTCCTCGCGCCTGCGCTGTACCCCTCCTCCTCGCGCCTGCGCTGTACCCCCACTCCTCGCGCCTGCGCTGTACCCCCACTCCTCGCGCATGCGCCGTGCGCTCTGCTCCACTGCTCCACTGATGGTGAAACCCCCTTCTACCTCTACTAGAGTGTGACGATTTCATAAAATTTGCTGTGTCACAAATGAACAACTCTCTTTGTTCTAAAGCAGAAAACAAGACGAGGGTTCAATCGGAAAACCCCTTATTGGCATGAGCTTCGATTTGGACGAATCACAGCTTCAAAATACTTGAAGTTGCACATTGTAAAACTCCAGAGCGCACTTTAGTAGAATCAATAATAGGTGCTTACAAAGTGAGGGACAAAAAATTCATGAAGAGGGGAAGACTATTAGAAAAAAAAGTGTTAAAGTGTGCCGAACAAAAAGTAAAGTGTAAATTTCAAGAGTGCGGTTTTTTTACAATGCCTTTGTTGCCTGTCCTCGGAGCCTCACCGGATGGTATCTCAAAAGATTACGTTGTGGAAATTAAGTGTTCTAGCAGTGTAAAAAATAAAAACACTTACATAAAAGACAATAATATTACAGCTAAATTTAAGGGACAACTTTATTTGCAAATGTTGTGTACTAATAAAAAAAAAGGGTTGTTTTGTGTTGCATCTCCAGATTTTGAAGAATCAAATAATGTAGAAATTTTGGAAATTGATTTTGACAAGCAGTTTGCTAATGAGCTTACGGCAGCAGCTATAGAAAACTGGAAAAGTTTTGTATTTCCTAAGCTTTTTGTAAGTTGTCAATAAATGTTTGAAAAGTTAAATGTGTTTTAATTTACTAAAAAATGTGTTGTGTATAATCTAATTAATCTAATTAGTTTATAATCTAATTTGCAAAAACCAATTTACTGTGTTGGGATATAATGTTTAAAATAAACTTAATATTTTTTTTATTTAAAAAAAAATGACCTATATATAAATATTTACATTTTCTATTTACACTTTAATGGTTATACTAAATTACAAAACTAAAAACTAATAGGTTAATACATATTTTCACATTTGTTTTATAATTGGGTTCTGTAAATTAATTAAAGCACATGCGATTTTAATTACTGCATCAGTCTGACCTATTAAATTATGATTAATTACAGAATGGGGCTTTAAATACTGAAATTCTCTTATGCGTCTAATAACCCGTTCAATATGTATTCGTAGACTAGCTATCCTTTTGCTTTCCATTATTTCCGCTTGAGTGGGCTTTGTTGATGAGGAAACACTTGGAGGTCTAACCAAATTGACCTTCCGCTCATGCAGGAATTTGGCAATATCCTTAAAACCTCTGTCTGCCATTACACTTGATTCAGCAGGTACTTGGTCCAAATACCCACATGTCTGAACCAACAATGAATCACTGATCCTTCCACAATGTTCAATGGAAATAAAATTTATGAAACCGTCTGGTGTTGATGACACTAAATATTTCAAAGTGTTGCATTTTTTATATTCTGACCAGATAAGAGCTTGCTGTACTGGGTTTATGCTAAATAAAAAAAAATTATCAATTGGAGATGGAAGATAACATAACATCATTTTTAACTTACTTTAAAGTGGTCTTCACAACAGAAAAATTCACTTTTTAATTTGGGCATATCACGTCTAGCTGCTGAGGACCATAGTTTCTTACGCCCATAATCCTGAGGCACACGCACAAAGAGTTTGTTTGGTGTACTTACAGATGTGCTTGTACAACGGGGCACAAAACACCACTATTCTGAGACCCGTACATAGGAATTTACCTATGTAATCACTCAAACACTTGAAAATGGTCTTACTAAACTGTGGTTATGCATGTTTTTGTTTGTAGCCACGAAAATAAAGTCTTAATTTAGTCTTAAAAGTCTAAAACACACAGATCTCAATTTAAAAACATGAACAAAGTTGACATCGCTTCACTGTTTATATGCGGCATGACGTCACACGGCCTCAACCTTGGGATAACCTATTTTGGCGCCAATTTCGGGCGTTTGAATTTTAAATGTTTTTTTTTTCTTGAAATACTTTTTGAAATATTTTTTTTTATGTTGCCATCAGATTTATAGGTATATAACCTCTCATTTTCACAGTTTACAAAAAAACATGAAAATACCCAATTGCGGCAGAGGATAACTGGATAATAATTTTAGTAGGATGAGCCAAAAAACTAACCTATGGAATTTAGGGGTTAAAATGAATCTAATAACCGAGAAAAAATATCCCCGGAAGGCAGGATTTTTAGCTCAATTTTTAAAGGTGTCGGTGAGCATTCAAAGCTTTCCATTTAAATAACACGTAAAAAAATCTTTTTCCATTAAAAGTACCATAACTTTGAAACGGTTTACGATAAAAAAAAATACATCGTGGATTCTTGTAGAGCATAAAATTTCCTAAAAAATCTATCTGAAAGTAATTATCTGAGAGGAATCTAGTTTTCTTTTATCAGATAGCCGTAATAAAGTGGCTATAAGAATGTGCAATTAGTTTTTTGATTTTCTAAAAAGTAACGATAGGGGAAAAATAAAATTGATTTTCAAAAAAATCCATTTTTTCCAAAAACTCAGCAATCTTGAAATTTTTAAAACTTTTCTGATGGCATCTTGGTGAATATCCCAAGGGGGAACTTTGCCCCAATTTAACTATCTTCGTATCTATTATGATGTCTTCTGATGTGTGTCAAATACTCGTCAGCGAGTAATGGCAGTAGTATTGTCTTAGTATTTTCGTTAACACGGCAGCACTAAGCTCCCACTCCCTTCCGTTCCATTACCTATCATAATGACGCTTGACTTCAGTTCAGGTTTTCAAGTTTATTTTCAATAAATCTATTAAATATCCGACGATGTATGACTACAGATAAACCGTCTTCTACTCGACTGCACCTCGTATTAGCAAATAATAAAATTAATCGACGGCGCGGCGCTGGGTTTTTTGCCAATGTCATACGCCGAACCCGATTAGCGAGGCAGCCACGCCATTCCTCATTTCTCGGTACTGACTAATACACGAACAATATTATTTATGTTCCCCCACTGGCCGAATTCGGTTAACTAACAGTGCGATGAGCTGCATTAGTTCCGAAAGCTATGTGTGTTTGCCAAGTTAAAAGATAACAAAACCCGAGCGATAACATTTCGCCACATTCATTTAAACATCGATCGGTTTGTGTAAATCAGCTCCTTCATGTTTTTAGTTTAAGCCGGTAGAAATCTCGGTAAAAATAACTCGATTTTCGTTTAAAAATCACGACCAATGTGATGACAGAGAGGTGTGAGTTGAGTGACAACGATGAAGCGGCAAAGCAGAGCACGACATCTCTGCAGATCAATAACTGGTGTGAAAATGAGGATAACTCCACCTTGGATAATACCAAGCAAGGAACCGAGGAAGCGAATGACATAGAGTACTGTCTCGAACTCATACCTAACTTAAATGTAAGTACAAATATTTGTTTGATATCTAACGGAACTAGTCTGTTCAACGACAAGATTCTTGATAGTGATAGATGTGTCATGTGTCTGACATTTTAATTTCAAAGTAGTTTCTTTTATTTTACAAAGAAATCAATTGGTACAATTGCCAATGCATAGCATGAAATTAATATATTGAGAATTTCAGTGACAAGTGATTGCTTCAAAATATTGGAAAAACTGTATAAAACCGTGTTAATACAAAACAAACTACCAGCAGAGTGTATTTCAAACGTTCCATATAATATGAAAAGATTTAAATGTAAAACCTTGTAAGTAATTCATTGGGGAACAAAAAGATTTTTTTTTGTGCGGCATTAGTTTTTGTAGTAAATTTAGTGACGTTAAACACAATAAGTTCTAACTACACAACTTTTTTGTTTAAATTGACTCTACTTTCATTTGCTGTTAGCGTTAACGCATTTTATTCTATGCAACAAAAATTGTTTAATGCTTATGCTGCGAATTTACTTATCGCATCTAAGCGGGCCATAAAACAAAATCGAGTGCTTAAATCTTTTCATGACACTGACATTTCAGTCTGTTTAAAACTCGGTTTAAAATTATTTTAATAGATATCAAGTGCTTTTTTGTCACCGTCTGAATTTAATAAAAGAAAGTTAGTTTTAATTGCTACTATATCAGTTTTTTCCGAGGTTTGTTCATTAAGTTGGTGTTATATTTAAAAACAACAATGAATTTTTCACGCAAGTGTTGTGTGAACCATCCCGACAAATTTTGCTACATATGTGGAAAATTCTATCAAGAAAAACAACAAAGAAACATTAACGGTTTTGTGAAACAAGCATACCAAGCATATTTTGGCAAGCATCTTGGACAGCAGAATAAATGGTGGATGCCTCATAAATTTTGTAAATCTTGTGCAGTCGCTTCGGTACTGGACCTAAGGAGGACGCAAAGGACTTCCATTTGGTGTACCGATGACGTGGTGCTAGCCATGAAACCATGTTGATGATTGTTACTTTTGTGCCGTGAATATAAAAGGTATGAATAAATTATAAAAAGCGTGCTTCGGTTTTTTCAAATATACAGTCGGCTAAATCGCCAGTGTTGCATAATGACTCATTGCCAGTGCCGATATTTAGAACCTTCTCGAACCTTACCTGTGATGATGTCGAAATGATAGACATTCAAAGTGACAGCGACAGTGAATTCGAATATTGTAGTGTAACTGCAACAGTGAGGGGTTTTTCACAAGGAGAATTAAATGACTTGATTCGAGATTTAAATTTGTCTAAAAAATCAGCGGAGCCTCTTGCATCAAGATTTAAAGAAAAACAGTGCCTACAGCCTGAGGTAAACATAACATCTTATCGAACGAGAGAGGAAACCATTCTTCCGTATATTACCGAGGAAAATAGTTTGGTATACTGTAACGATGTTTCCGGACTTCAACATTTAATGGGTCTTTCCAGATACCGACCAGAAGATTGACGGCTTTTTATAGACAGTTCTAAACGCAGTTTAAAATGTGTTTTACTGCAGAATGGAAATAAATTAGCTTCAATCCCGATAGGTCACTCAACTAAACTTAAAGAGGAATACCAAAACATTAAACTGGTTTTAGAGAAAATTTTGTTGGTACAACTTCAGTGGTCTGTATGCGTAGATTTAAAAATAGTGAACTTCCTATTAGGCCAACAAGGTGGGTACACTAAATACCCCTGTTTTCTCTCTTTATGGGACAGTCGGGCAAAAAGAGAACTGGGCTAGAAAGGACTGGCTGTTGAGAGAAAATGACTGTTGGGAATGCCAATATTATTCATGAACCCCTAATAAGCCGGGAAAAAATCATTCTTCCGCCACTTCATCTTAAACTTGGGCTCATGAAACATGTTCGTTAAAGCTCTGGATAAGATGGTGATTGTTTTAAATATATTTGTCAGGCAGTTTCCAGCCTTAGCATGGAAAAATTAAAGGTATCTGCAGGTATCTTTGATGGTCCGTAAATCCGCACTCTTATAAATGACAAGAACTTTTTAAATCACATGACTGAGGTGGAAGCAGAAGCATGGAAGAGCTTGGTATCTGTTGTGAAAAACTTTTTAGAAAACCACAAGGCACCAGAATATTACAAAATTGTCGCCCAGATGCTAAAAATTTTTGAAAAACTAGGAGCTAATATGAGTATAAAAATTCATTTCTTGCATAGCCATTTGGATCGATTCCCGAATAACTTGGGCAATTACAGCGAAGAAAAAGGGGAGCGGTTCCATCAGGACAACAAATTAATGGAAAAAAGATATCAAGGCCGGTGGGATCGCCATATGATGGCGGATTACTGCTGGACCTTACAAAGGGATTGCCCATAACAAAGATACAAGAGACGGTCCTATACCAAACGTTTCTCCTAACTTTTTTTTTAATATTTTAGTTTTATTAGCTTAGTTTTAATTTAATATAACATATTATAATAGCTGGTGGCATTGAAATTATAGATATTCAATATAAATTATTTTAATTTTTTTTTGTTTTAATTTATATGAAAGTTTTTTTATCTCACAAACTAGAGTCAATTAATATTATTTACCATACTACACGTATTTGGGTCATCATAACTGCTCAAAATCGACTCTTAGAACCCGCGCCGCAGAATCACTGTTCCCCTTTCTTATGTATCGAGAAACTATTCATAAACTATTTGTTATGCTCGTTGAAATTGACACTTTATGTCAGTTTAATAATATATTTTTGTGAAAGTGTTTTGAAATTGACAGTTTTTGTTATTTATTTGAGATTCAAAACGACATTCTTCTACGCACTAGTACCTAAAAGTGACACTTGTTTAGGCACTAGTGCCTAAAAGTAAAAAATGAAACGTTAGAAACAATGAAAATATTTATTTATTATAAATCTTAAAGGTACAATTATTTAAGTTCTTAAAGTGAATACAAGAGGCGTGAATCCAACTTTTCGTCTCTAAGAGAAATGCAAGTTGTAGGAGTCGAAATAAGTAAATTTCTTGTACTGGCAATGCTGGTAGCTTCTGCTTCTACGTGAACTGCTTTTAATTTCTTATTTGGCGTATCTTTCTGTCCCATGATTCTTTTTGCTATTTCGGTTTCTGTTCAATTGAATTTTCAATGTAATCTTCAGCAACTGAGCTTCATCGCCAACCTCCATGTCGCACAGTGTAACGAAATCGGAAAATGCGGGACATTAGCCCAAGAAACAAAAAAATTAATTCATCAAGTTTTTTATATAGATGGATAAAGCACATCCCAGAGCCCCACCATTTGAGATATTTCTTGAGTTGACCTCTTAGTCGGGGAGTTATGGCGGGTTAAAGTTATGGTTTCCTTAATTTACCAAATCCGTACAAAAATTTATTATTTTCAGAAGTTTCCTTGTGTTGTTCAATTCCAACAATTTTTTCCGTAAAGAGAGGTCTTTTACCAACAACAAACCTGAAAAAAATGTCCCAATTTTTTTCAAGTCTAGTTTCTATATGTTCATTATGACTTTCAAAAAAACGCTTACATTCGCGCAAGGTTATATATACGAAAATATCATAGAGTGAACCTTCTAGTATACTGTTACATATAAATTTCATCCACCTAGATCCGAACCTGGAAGAAAAAAATAAATTTCTTCTGCAATAATTACGTTTTCCATTGATTCGACCGTAGTTTTTTCCGTAATTTTTTGTGCTATAATTTCTTTATTGAAAAAAAAGCTATACGCTTGCTATGAACATACTGAATGCTATTTTAGGGGCGAGGAACCATCCTCACATTGGGGTGGGGGACGGTTTACAACAATTCAGAAAATCTCAACATTGGAGAAAAATTACTCAAGAGAATATTTTTTCAAACCGGCAAAATTTTCTTCGATGTATTTAACAGTCCACCCTCAATGCTGCATCATTGTTGGTACCAAACTATTGAAGATATATTGCACAACTTATTGATATATTCAGATCCTCTACTTTCACATCTGCGACCAAAGCACTCGTTCTCTTTGAGTTTTGCAGTCTTATCTAATTTATCCCTGATTATTTGAATATTTAGGAATGTTGATTGAGTTTTGACATATTAGCGGGAGATGCGTGATAGCGTTATGGATTGTTCGACAGTAATTTGATAACGTTTTTGGTCCATAAGAACTATAAACTATACAATATAAACTCTTCGTAAATAAAAAAATATACCTGTAAAGTCCTTTTATAAAACTTCGTATTTTTTTGACCTTCCATTACGCTTTTTTTACTCTTTTTGCCCTGTAGCAAAAATTCCTAGTCGTATGATTTAATTTCTGTCAAAAAATGTCAGCAAGAATAGTGATAACTGAAGAAAAATGCCAATGTCCCACTATTTTACTTTTCGTTACACTGTGTGTCGCTTTGAAACTGTTATGTCCGCTCCTGAATCTGCTGCCAGCATTGTTGCAGAGCTGCGCCGGAAACAATGACCAGTATATTCAATGGCGTTGGAGAGTCCAAGAAATTCCGCTATCTCTTTTGACATACCTCCAATTGTATTGATTCCAACTGAGAGGGTACAGCATTGATTTTTTCGATACGTCAAGAAAAATCGCTGATGTGTCACATTGAGTGGTCGAAATTTTGCGTACTTACGAAATACATGTAAGAAATTGATACCATCTATTGGTCCCTCAGTAATCGTAAACAGTCTTGGAAAATGAGTTTTTGTATTCGGAATCTTCACACTAATAAATGACTGACAATATTTAATGGCATCTACGGTAAAAAACGTGATTTCTTCCCTCCTACATGCTCCAAATACTCCAACGATTAAGACAACTTTAGCTAACAGGAATTCTTTGTCATCGGCTTAAAGTCATTCTTTTATTATCAATCATATCATGGCCTACTAATAAATATGATCTTTTAATAAAAAGTTTTAAATATTGGTTTTGTATTGTTATCTGTTTAGTTTTTTTAAGTAGATGCAGTTTTTCTTAAATTGTCTTGTCCAAAATTTGTTCAAATTTAGTATACAGGGTGGCCCATCGAAAACGTTCCATAAGGCATAACGGCTAGGGTATTCTTTTTTTCAGACAATTCAAAAACACGTCAATTTTGTTTGTGAGGGGGACAAATTTTGCCTCAAAAATTATTGCAAAATCTTCAACCCTCTAAGCGGGGGAGTCATCCCCCAATTTTTTTTAAATGGAAAGGGGGGTCAAGTGGCACCGCAATGAAAAGGGCTTTCTATTCTCTATACCTTCCGGCTTCGTTTTTGAAAATCGGTCGAGTCAATGAGAAAATATGAAGGATTGAAATTTGAAAAGTGTATTTAAACATTTATCAGAGTAAATGATAAAAGCAAATTCCTTCGACCAATTTGCTGTTTTTTCTTATTATTTCTAGATGTTTACGCATTTTTTCACTTGCCACAAGGTTGAACGATCAGGTGCGGTAGTTGCTAGATAGCTGTTCTGTGACTTATGCGTTGAAGTTCTGCTCAATATCGTTAAACTTTTTAACAATTATTATGGTGTACTCACTTACAGAAAAAGTGGAAATAATCGAATTTTATTTAAAATGAATGTGGCAATCGGATTACGCAGATATTCAATGAACGCCATCCTGACAAAAACCTTTATGGCAAAATTGTTCGCGAGTTAGTAGCAAAATTTCGCGAAACTGGTTCCGTTATGAATAAAAAGAGGCCGATGGAAAATCCTGTAGTAAATGAAGCTATGGAGGTATTTGTATTGGGCCAAGTTGCCATGGATAGTACGCTGAGTACAAGAAAATTAGCCAATGAACCGGCCTGAATCGTACAAAAATGTCCAAAGGATATTAAAAAAACACAAGTTCTACCTAGTATTCAGCATAAGCAGATCATTAAAAAACTATTTACAACTTTGCTGTAAAATTAACTGGGAAATTAATATTTGAATAGTTCAAAATTTACATGGGATTTACTGTTTTCAACGAGGATACACCACCCGGTATAATAATTGTCGCACTAAATACAGGATGTACCCAAAAAAATCGATTTTTTTGTTTTTCGATATTTAGATATCGAAAAAATGGTTATATGTAATTAGTTCTGCGTCCTCAATAACTAAACAAATTATTTAGACATATTTCATGCGGTATCTGTCATATAAAATTTGTTGGTTTTTAATGTAATCTTTTGATAAATTCATTATAGATAAATGAAAATAATGCGTAGAAAGATTAAAGGTGCGTTCCTTATCTCATTAAACTATTAGATCTGGATTTAGAAATAACAAATATGATAGTCACCTTGGAGAAATTGATACAGACAATTATGGATGTCTGAAAATGGAAATAAATTATATTTAAAATACATTTTAATTGATAAATATACCGTGTGCGTCTCAAAAGTTGCTCACCCCTATAACATTTTATCGCAACCAAACCACTTCCTGTTTCACCGGAAATGACTACAACTTTTGAATTTTAAATGGCACCCTGATATGTTTTTACATTATTCGACAGAAAATGATACTCTGATGACACACCATAGTAAATTTTTGACATTTTTTTGGCATGTAGTCTATTTGAAATTGTAACATGCAGTTCATAATGGCAATTTGACTCGAAATGCCATGTGTGTGGTACCAAATTATTCGTAAAAAAATTCTTTTTTCAAATAAGCTAATGAGCCACTCTTGTTCCGTTTGAAAAAAATGAGATATTAAAAATAAGATTTCGACATCTTAAACGGGCCCGGACAAGACACGAAAATCATTAGACGATAAAATTTATTTTTCCAAGGCTCCTTGATTAAAAATTAGTGTTTATAACACATCCATGGCAGTCTGGATTGAATTTTTTTTAAGCGAAAATGTCAAAGGTTGAGTATGATATGTCATTCTATTCAGAGTGTCATTTTCTATCGAATAAAGTAAAAATACACCGGCATGAGTGCGATTCAAAAATCAAGAGTTGTAGTAATTTCCCGTAAAACAGGAAGTGACCAAAAACAATTGAATACGTAAATCAATCCTAATTTATGTCATACACTGGCATACCAAATCTCGTTTTTTTATCTAAAAAGTTAAAAAAGTTATAGGGGTGAGCCACTTTTAAGACGCACCCGGTATATCTGAAAGTAGAAATAGTGTTAGTTAGTGTTACTAGTGTAGTGAAATCCATTATACGCATGGAGGTGCATATTTGACAGGCAGGGGGGATTATCCGATATTTTGTACTTTCCATTGTACTTCCCCTTTAACTAGGTACATCATAAAGGCGGTTAAGTCAAAGTTTCTACCGGTTTCTATACGGAATTGTTCCCTAAGGACCTGCCATCGTTCACACGCAAATAGTGTATGTTGAACATCATCGTCCTGACCACAGTAGATGTATGATGCACTATCAACCCTACGACGATCGTATAAATATTTTCTAAAACACCCATGGCTAGACAATGCTTGACTCATGAAGTAATCGACTTCTCCATATTGTCTGTTTAACCATAGTTGTATGTCGGGTATTAACCTGTTAGTCCATCTGCCATATTATTGTTATTCCATTTCTCTTGCCACTGTTGGAGAAGTTTTGTCCTTGCTAGATTTTTATCCATCCCATGGTATCTATCATATCGTTCCTGTATGAGCAGATCAATAGGCACTATTTCAGCTATAACTCTTATAGCCTCTCCAGATACAGTTTTGTATGTGCTGCATACCCTAATAGACATAATGCGTTGTATTCTGCGTAGTCTTTGCATTAGCTTGCGATTGTTGGTGATTTTATGCCATATCGGTGCAGCATACAAGTGCGAGTGTACAACACTAGCAAGTACTCTTCTTTTGGATGCTCTAGCACCTTCTACGTTTGGCATGAGTAAGGCTAAAGCGGTGACAGTTTTCTCGGCCTTGGTGATGGTTTTATTAATCTGATCCGCAAAATTCAATTTGGTATCCAGCCACACTCCTAAGTATTTTAAAGAATTACTTGGGTAAATTACAGTTCCTTGTATATAAAACTGCACCGGGGATATTTTTCTTTTTCTGGTCAGTAATACTGCTTCAGTTTTATGTGAAGCTACGTTCAACAGATTATTCTCCATCCAGTTTACAACTCGTTGGAGTGCCAAGTTGACGGTGTTCATCAGTACATCCTCATCCTTTAAACATGATACAATGGCAAGGTCATCTGCAAAGGCAACTAAAGTTATTTTATCTGGCATTTCTATATAGTTCATCATCGTATCCATTCCTATCGTAGTTTCTATTCCTATCGTAGTCCCAAGACGGATTCCTGTGGTACACCGCTATGTACCAACACAGTTTTTTGTAATCCTTCGGCCTCTATTTTTAGTTTAACCTAGAACATACCAAAAGTTCCTTTCGACCAGAGTTTGTCAGCCTGGCGCCGGCGCCGAATGTCCATGGCTGGCAATAATGAATTATTTAAAAATCGCACTCGCAACTGGGATCGTTTACATCCTAATATCAAAAGTAATGGGGAAAACTTAATAGAATAATTAATTAATTATTGGTCCTGGCATTGCAGGACGACGCTCACAGTCTAATCATTGAAGGAACGTCGCAGACCAAACATGAGAATCGAATCGAAAATTTGGCGGCGAACAACGTTGGTGCCATACACATCGGCGACCGTATATATGTTAATGGAGATGCCGAATTCACTGGCAACATTGGAGGATCGATTTATCAGAAGAGGCTTAGAGAGAGCTTAGAGAATCGGTCAGATTGCACAAAGAAAGGTAAGAATTTAATATATTTTTCTTGTTCGGGGATAGGTTCAATATCTCTCAAACAGTAGCTATGTAAGTTAATAATTTAGAATATATTTTATATTTCTCCAATATACGACCACTCACCATACTCACAGAGTATCTAGTAGATGCATTCTTTCTCTTATACCAGTTTTCCCGCTTTTTTTTATTAAAACGATTCTTAGCGTAGTTCCAGACTTAAAAACAGGTTTTACATGATACTGCTTGGCTATTCTTCTGATTTGGTGTTCCTCTTATATATAGAATTGTCAAGAGTGAGAGTCTATTTCCCAATTTAATGTTTAAAAATAACCCATAAATTAGGAAATAACTTCATATAGTTTGCTTCTGGGGGACAGATTTGGAATCCTTCTGGAAAAATTTTATATCAGTTAATGTAATCATTGTCATCATTTTGAGCTTATTCCACCATTTTCAAAAATGACGTAGCCTCCGTCACATACCCTCATCGTAGTTGGGATCACTGTTGTCTATAGTTAGCTATGCCAGCCCATGTTATCCCTGCTAATTTCCTAATATCATGATCCCATCTCAGGTTCGGTCTTCCTCTAGATCTCTTAATTCCTCGTAGGTACCATGCTGTACTTTTTGTGGTCCATCTATTGTCCGTTCTTCTTGCCAGGTGTCCTGCCATTTGAGTGATTTAACTCTGTGAATGACATCTATTACTTGGGTCTTTTGTCGTATCCACTCTATTCCCCCCTTTTACGGTTCCTCTTGGTTATTCCCACCATTAAGCATTGTGCGACCTGCAGTTTGATGTCCGTTTTAAGTGTTCAGGTTTCGCATGCATAGGTTATGACTAGTAGTACGCATTGGTCGAATGTTTTCTTCTTTACATAGAGTGGCATTCTAGATTTCTCTTGCTAACTTAATTCTTATGTTGATTTCTGGTAGTAGATATCCCGAGCTGTGTATTAGTTGTCCCAAATATACAGGGTGGCCCATCGAAAACGTTCCGCAAGGCATAACGGCCAGAGTATTTTTTTTCAGATAATTCAAAAACACGTCAATTTTGTTTGTGAGGGGTACAACTTTTGCCCCAAAAATGATTGTAAAATCTTCAACCCTCTAAGCGGGGGTATCATCTCCCAACTTATTTCAAATGGGAAGGGGGGTCAAGTGGCGCCGAAATGAAAAGAGCTTTCTATTCTCTATATTTTCCCGCTTCGCTTTTGAAAATCGGTGGAGTCATTGAGAAAATATGAAGGATCGAAATTTGAAAAGTTTATTTAAACATTTATCAGAGTAAATAATAAGAATAAATTCCTTCGACCAATTTGCTGTTTTTTCTTATTATTTCTAGGTGTTTACGCATTTTTTCACTTGCCACAAGGTTGAACGATCAGGTGCGGTAGTTGCTAGATAGCTGTTCTGTGACTTGTGCGTTGAACTTCTTCTCAATATCGTTAAACTTCTTAACAATTATGGTGTACTCACTTGCAGAAAAAGTGGAAATAATCGAACTTTATTTTAATAATAATGAATGTATCGGGTTGCGCACATATTCAATGTACGCTATCCTGACAAACACCTTTATGGCAAAATTGTTCGCGAGTTAGTAGCAAAATTTCGCGAAACTGGTTCCGTTATGAAAAAAAAGAGGCAGAGCCTGTAGTAAATGAAGCTATGGAGGTATTCGTATCTGGCCAAGTTGCCATGGATAGTACGCTAAGTACAAGAAAATTAGCCAATGAGACCGGCGTGAATCGAACAAGTGTCCAAAGGATATTAAAAAAACAGTTCCACCCGTACAAAATTCAGTTTGTACAAGAACTCAATGAAGACGATTTTAATCGTCGCTTGCAATTTTGTGAAACTATGAGTGAAACGAGTGGCGAATGATAATAATTTCCTATTTAATGTGTGTTTTTCGGATGAGTGTACTTTCTTTTTGAACGGTGTAGTTAATCGGCACAACTGCCGGTACTGGGCTGAGGACAACCCAACAACAGGTTTTTCACGAGGTGTACACCCACAACCCTCAGAAATTGAACGTGTGGGATGGTATTTTTGGAAATTCTATTGTGGGTCAGTTTAACGATATTGAGAAGAAGTTCAACGCACAAGTCACAGAACAGCTATCTAGCAACAACCGCACCTGATCGTTCAACCTTGTTGCAAGTGAAAAAATGCGTAAACATTTAGAAATAATAAGAAAAAACAGCAAATTGGTTGAATGAATTTATCTTTATCATTTACTCTGATAAATGTTTAAATAAACTTTTCAAATTTCAATCCTTCATATTTTCTCAATGACTCGACCGATTTTCAAAAACGAATCGGGGAAATATAGAGAATAGAAAGCTCTTTTCATTGCGGCATCACTTGACCCCCCTTCCCATTTGAAAAAAGTTGGGAGATGACGCCCCCGCTTAGAGGGTTGACGATTTTGCTATCACTTTTGGGGCAAAAGTTGTCCCCCTCAAAAACAAAATTGACGTGTTTTTGGATTTTAAAAAAAAAATACCCGGGCCGTTTTGCCTTGCGGAACGTTTTCGATGGGCCACCATGTATATATTCTTCTACTATTTCAAGTGTTGTCTTATTTAATAGTGTACTACTATTTCAAGTGTTGTCTTTTCTTTTCATTAGTTCGTTGTACAATTTAGTTTTTGCTAGATTCATTTTAGACCCACTTTATTACTGGATGTATTTGATTCATTAATTTGTGATGGTTGTTCTTCAAAATTATTGGCAATTAGGACTATGTCATCAGCGAATCTTAAATGGTTAAGATATTCTCCCTCTATTTTTAATCCTTTGTAGGTCCAGTCCAGTTGACGGAAGATGTTGCTGTAAACAGCTTTGTGCATATTATCACGTTTGGGGGTATAAACGGGGGTATAATCAGTTCATGAATAAACGAAAAATTTTAATGAACTTTCTGCACAAGAAGCTAAAAGCCTTACCAATTTAATCAGGAACCCGTACATTAGAAAACTCTTCATTTTACTCTTTTGTAGTCCCTGTTCAGTCATTACTGAGAGTCTTTTATACTAAGAGTTATAGTATCAAGATAAAATATCTACACCAAAAATTGTATGGTAAAAATTGTATTGTATACCATCTCCATCTCTGCATTAGTTTATCTATTCCTGATTCCCAAAAAGCCCTAATACTTCTTAGTGCTTTATTTTGGAAAACTTGTCTGGCTCATATTAAAATGACTAAAAAAAATTACAATGAATTAATTTTATAAAGTAAGTACGTAGTAACATAATGACTTGAAAAATAACATATATGCCTATTTGAGAGATATTTAACCACTTTAACCGATACATTAGCATTTCTTTGTTATTCATGTTAGTTTTGATGTCGTATTTGGTGTGTATTATGCAATATGTGTTGTCTAAGCTTTCGGAATCTGCTGCTTCAATACATAAACACATAATTTACACGGGTTAAGTAGTTCGTAGTGAGCTTGAAATTTAGTTAAATGTGGTAGAACAATGTTTTGGTTCTTCTGGTCGGTCTTCCATGACCTTTAAGTTGAAAAACAAATAGATATTACAGAGATATATGAAACATCGAATCGAGAAACATTATCGATATTATTCGGAGTATGATACATTCTTAATCCTGAGCATTTTCCTACAGGGAAAACCGGCAAGCGTAAAATTATCTAATTTTTCGTCTATATTTCTTAACTTTGTCGGATAACAATAATTGTATACCAATTGCTTTCACGAAAAATAACATATATGTATATGAGATCAGAGCTGCAACAAACCAGTCTCACAAAGACTTAAATCTTAAGTCTTAAGTCATTCCTCAAATCCAAATGATTCAAACCTTAAGTCTTTGACTTAAATCATTTTCTTTCAAGTCAAGTCATTTTTTGTAAGAACTTAAATCAATACAATGTAATTTAAGTAATTTTAAGGTCTTAAGTCTATATTTTTTATTCAAATCATAATGACCTGCGAGTTAAGTCGGCAAAGTGACTTAAATCAAAATAATTACCCTCAAGACAGCCAAAATTCAATTTAAGTATACTCACTCACTACGCACTTTATTTGCTAGTGGTATTGAGTGTTTTTTATAAAATTACAGCCTAACTACAGCCTAAGCTAAGTTAAAAAGAAATGCTACTATTTCGGAATAAAGATTTAAATCACAAATCAATTTGGAAATTACTTAAATTTTAAGTTTTAAGTCAGCTTTCGAAAAATGACTTAAAATTAATTGACTTAAGTCATTAAAATAATTTAAATAAACAAAAATAAGTTTTTTGTGATCTTGCAGCTCTGTATGAGATAAATAATGTTTTTTTAGTTACACACAGAGTTGCACGCTCACAGAAAACTTTTCTTTCATTTTAATGACTTAAGTCATTTAATTTTAAGTCATTTTCCGAAAGCTGACTTAAGACTTCAAAATGATTTGTGATTTAAATCTTTATTCCGAAATAGAAAAATATTTAAGTCTTTTTCGAAAAGACTTAAGTCATTAAAAATATTTAAGTCTTTTTATAAAAGCCCTAAATCAGATTTTTATATATTTTTATGGTACATTTTTAAGAACAGTTGGAAAGCAACAGAATAAAAAAAGATGCTAAATATCACTAGCAAATAAAATGTTAGGTTTTCGGAACCGGTTTTAATTATTTGTCGTGTTACGCATGCGTAGTGAGTCTGTTGTCTTTCAAGTAAATCCCGACTCCGTTATGTAGTCCGAAAGAAGAAAAAAAGAAATTTATCTCGAATATATTGAAAACTACCTTAAAATCCTCCAGCCCTTAGCTGGTACCATCGATATATTAATGATTAAAACTTATCACCACTTTTTAAAAGACATGTGATCGATGACATCTAACTGTAATAGATACATATAAATTACTACAAAATCGGTTAAATTTTATAAAAAAAACATATATTTGTGTTTATACTTTGTTTTGGTTTGGTTTGGTTGAAAATTAACCGTTTTATTTTATTTGGTTTTAGTCTCATCTGTATCTACAATAA